AACGACGCAGCAGGGGCTGGTTGTCCTCCGGAGGGTAGGGGTTGTGGGCAGCAGGAGGGAGGGACATGGCGTGGCTGGCATTAGGTGACGTGATCTGGAAGGTAGGCACCTGTGGGGGCAAGGAGTAATGGAGGTCCACCGGCGAGAGGCGGGCTGGTGTTGTCAGCGCTGACACGTATCTGCAGTATAAAAAAAAAAAAAAAAAAAAAAAGGTCAGAAGGTCAGAGGTTCTAGTCAAACATCTAATTAAAATGTCCCAGAACTTAAAGCTAATCGAAACCGGCAGAGCGACTGTGCATCTACTGCATGTAGGCACATGACAGAGAGACAGGTGGGGGTGTGTGTGTGTGGGGGGGGGCATCCTCATTGGCCAATTCTGTTAAGAATTAAACTTGTTTTTTAATTTAATTTTATTTCGTTGGATTTACTCTGTGCAGGAATATTTAATGTTACAAAAAAAAGCTGAAAATTAGAAATGATTACTGGAGATTTAATGTAAATTCATCGATGGCTATGAACATACAGTTTGGCCAAAGATGAAATAATCCTAAATGTTTTCACGTTTTTATACACGGAGTTTAGATCAGTTTGAGACGGGACTATTTCTCAGCCTGTGATGCAGCTCTGCTGCTCTCACCAACTGTTTCCTGTTTTTGTGAAAATCCCCCATAATCAAAGCTTGTGCAGACAGGGTTTGGGCTCGTGCCATTTATTTTAACAATCCAACATCACATGATCTTGTTTCTTGGCTGTGACCTCGAAAAAAAATATCCCAGAGCCAGGTTATGGACTCTTTGATTAACCGTGGGTGTGTTCTTGCACAACGTGTAATTAACCATTGAGAGAACCGTCTTCCATTCCCTCCGAGAGACGCAGCACCGAATCATAAATCAGCTGTTTGTCTTTACCACCACTAGGGGAAATGGACCAAGACAGTTTTGGCACAAATGCTAAAGTTCCTGTGTTTAAACCTATGATGTCTGACTTAAAGTGTTTCGATTACAGTGTTGTTACATTCACTGAATGGTACAATTATCCATTAGTGAGTTCTCAGTTATAACATATATATTAACATATATCTGAATATATTGTTATTATATATAACATATATCTGAATACATTGTTATTATATGTTATGAGTTATTATAAAATAATGTTTTGGTTTGTTTCTGTTTTACAAATATAATGTTCATGATACTGCTTTGGGATGAATCCCAAAATGGAATATTGATATCCATCCATCCATCCATCCATCAATCCATCAATCCAACAATCCATCAATCCATCAATCCATCCATCCATCCATCAATCCATCCATCCATCAATCCATCAATCCATCCATCCATCCATTCATCCATTCATCCATACATCCATCCATCAATCCATCAATCCAACAATCCATCAATCCATCAATCCATCCATCCATCAATCCATCCATCCATCAATCCATCCATCCATCCATCAATCCATCAATCCAACAATCCATCAATCCATCAATCCATCCATCCATCCATCAATCCATCCATCCATCCATTCATCCATTCATCCATTCATCCATCCATCCATCCATCCATTCATTCGTCCATCCATCCATCCATCCATCTACTAATTTAAATCCCATTTCTACATCCCAGATAAATGTATTTCTGAGGAACACAGGTAAATAAACTCCAGTGTTTTTGGGGACCAGACCAAAACCTGACCAGACCAATGAAAGTTAAAACAACGGGCCGACATGTGGCTCCACCGTTCACGTTACTCTGACTCCTGCTGGAGCTCAGCTTTTCTTTCGCCCTGAAGCCAACGGCTCCTTCCTGATTCCTCCCTCTGTGGTGAGATAATCCCTGTTCCAATCTCTGAGGAGCTGGAAAGAAATGTATCATTTTTTTTCAACCTGCCTCTGAGCAAGAAGACTAACAAACATGTTTACAGATTCCTTCGCTGGTTTAAGAAAAAAAAAAAATCTGCCTCGATGTCAACACCGTATTCACACCTGCAGACGACTGTATTTTTAATGGAAATAAAAACCACGACTTACATTAAGATTACAGAACCTGTGAGGGTGAACCAAACATGCCAACAGCACCACCTACTGAGCTACAGCCACAGACTTCACCGAGTTTATCAAAAGTCGGTGAATGATAATAAAAGGCTCTGCACTGATTTGGGGCTGAATTTCCACCAGGCCTCATCTGGTCTCTATTTCCTAGTTTAAAACTTCTCGCTGCACAGACCGACGACGGACTAATGTCACTGATGAGAAACTTCTCAAACATCAGACCCTGAATGAGCGGCGTCGGACGGGCGAGTTTCCCACCTGTCACTGTGCGGAGAGTCCAGCGAGTCGAAGGACTCCCCGTACTGGAGGCCCGGCCGGTGGGGCTCAGAGTAACCACAGTGTGCAGCGCGCCGCGCCCGCGCCTCCATGCACGCAGGGCTGCTGCATTTACTGGTCCCTACGGACGATGACATCATTCCCGGCGAGTCAGACAGGATACTGTCGGTGCGTTCCAGGCTCCATGTCCGCTCGTCATGTCTGAGAAACATCAGAGAGAATTAACGCAAACCCAGGGGGATCACTGAGAAATTCCTCAAGGCTAACGGCTTCTCCTACGGCGCTCTTACAACCGTACACTGGGGGCAGTAGAGTGATGTGGTGTTTGAAGACGCTAACCAGTGAAAAATATAGCTGATGAGACACTGCTGTTAGCTAAACGCTTTTGAGACGTTAGCAAAGATTGTAGGAATAGCGTATAGATGGCTAACAGCTAGCTGACACATCTAAAGCCATTGTAAACAGACCATAATGCATAATTAACTAGGTTAGTAGTTAGTAGAAGAATTAAGTGTTAATTTGAAAATATTTTTAATTGAAATTAACTACAATTTTACTGTAGTTTAACTCTCCAAAAATCATCGATAAAGGAATGTGGCTCAACACTTGGCTCCAGAGCCAGATCTTGGACAAAGGTGTTTATAAAGATAAACGTGAATGAACTACAATTTCAGAGTAGCCGAACTCCCCCACAGCCCCCCCCCCTTCAAGGTCAACAATGGGCCCCCGAGCCAGGTATTGACAACACCGACCTTTTGACTTTTAGTTTAAACAATCTTGTTAAATGAAACAAATGAATCTGTGCCTGAAACCAGATCATCAAATTCACCCAGCGTTTTATTTACGACTCCATATTTGTCCAGAATGATTACCCCGATTGTCCTCCAGGGCCCGCAGCGCTGGCCTGCTTACCTTTGAGTTGATGAATGGGCCCGTGTGGAGGAGTTGTGAGATCTGGAGGAGGCGTGGCTGGCAGGGAAGGATCCCTCTGTGACGGGACGTATGACTCGCTCGGTCGCCGGGACGTTCTTTGATATGTACTGTTCCAGGGTGAATGGTTTTGGCAGATGGGGAAACATAAAAAGGGTTTGCTTATATAACGAGACTTGATTTACGTCGTTGGATTTATACCTTCATAAAGTCTGTTTTCCTTCTGCAGTACTCACATCTACCATCGGGATTTCCTCCGGTCCGGGTCCTGGGTGATTGGGTCCGTTGGCTAGGTTTCGATTGGGATGTTCTGGACACATGTTTTGTCGCAGATGATTGTGCATCTTCTTCCTTTGTTTCCTGTGGAACAAACGTCAAGTTAGCGTCGTTATGTTTCAC